TGCATTGCCAGGGATGGCTCTGGGGCGAACTATGCCATCTTTTCTTTTTTAGTATGTCTAATATCTGGTACTTGTTCTGTTTTTACACATATCCTTCGCTTCGCAGCCCTTCCAAATCCCCAATATTTTTCTGTGTATTTCCCACCTTCTCTCAGCAGTCTGGTTGGTGAAGAACTATGTAACTGTGTCCTGTTTCTGTGCTCCTGGGGCGAAGTTCTGAATTGTAGGGAGCTGCATTCGCAAAAACAACCAAAATGTGTAGGTACAATAATCATTAACAGGATGGAAGCTGGAAAATAGGTTTGTGTACGTAAACTCCCTGTAAAAAGAGGCAAAATAGGCTGAGGAGATCTAGTGCTTTTGAATGCTTAATTAGTGCCTGTTCGCATGAAATCTGTACAGAAAATGTAAGACATTTTCAAACACAAAACCTTGATAAAGGAAAGAAGGAAATAATTAATTACAGTCTTAGAAGACTTCCTGTATGTATAGCATGAAGGGAAGAAGGGTTAATTGTAATAGAAAAAGGAAATTTGCCCATATAATTGAAATAGTTGTCAATTAAATAATGATCTGAATAGGAAAGATTGTAAATAATGTCATGGGCTCTAACATATTTTGAAAGAAAGTAGCATCTCTCTCTCTCTTAGGAAAGTTTTATTCCAGGTCTAATCCAGTCTGGTTCTCTGGAGCCCCGTCTGTCTTGTAAAACACGCGGTAACCTTTCCACGGCCTTTTGAGCTGGTTGGACTTGGGGCTTTTGCAGTCCTGAGCTGGCACTGACTTCGTGGCAACGAGTTGGTTCGGGGAGATGAACAGATGAAGGACTTAGGCTTGCTTGTAGGAGGGTATCTGGCTGGGCGAACCCTGGGGCTCAATCTGGCTCCCCGATGGTGCTGGCTGGAGGGACGGGGGTGAAGTGGAGAGGGATGGGTCTGTGTGGGACATCAGATGGGAGGGCAGAGCGTAGGCAGCCCCAAGAGACGCTGGGGATGGGATCCAACCTGGAAGTGCAAAATGGACATGTAAGGATAGGGCAACACCTCGCAACGTCACTGTACGTTCATAGCGTATTGCTTTTTGTTTCTAACCAAACCGGCGATGCCGTCTATGGTGGCTGCTGAAGGTCCTGGTATTTGATAGCACTGTTTCAGTCCATTTAACGGTATCTGAACAGAAAAAAATTATGATATGAACGAAACCAAATAAAGGAGAAGAAGAAAAAGACTGGTGCTTGGGAGGAGGGTAGTAAGATACGTTTAAAAGAAACCTTTATTAAGATTCAATTTGGCGTAATTATGCCTGTACAAAAGAAAATAAATATACAGCAGGGCAGAGATGCTGCCAGAGATTGAAAGGTATGGTTGTGTAGGCCCAAGTGGGTCTGTTAAAAATAATCAAGCACTTTGGGGGCAGGGGCAAGTTTTCCGCAGAAACTTTTCACGCACATGAACTGCTCTGCTCCAGAGCTGTTTATCTTGATGCTTTGCATAGGCCTGAGTCTGCATTTTTATCTTTTTTTTTTTTTTGCAAAGTTAAATCCCTTTAATTGGAAATCAGCTTGACCTGTGGTAGTTCCTGAAAAAAAAATCTCTCTATGTCATCTGCCCTACTGATCTGTATTTAATGTAATTCTTTCACTGGCTTATTGTCCTTTAACCTCCTGAGCAATTTTTCATTGGTCTTTTAACCCCACACGATTCTTAATTCTTCTTTTAAAATGCCAGAAGAAGAGTTCCTATTTGTGTTAGTTTTCTGTTTCCTCTTACTTGTTAAAACTACTAAATCCTATATTGCTTTTAACTCTTTAGAAGTGATTTACCTCCACGTGCATTGTTTAGACTAATACATTTTTATGAAAACTGTACACTCTTCCTTGTTTCCTCCTACTTACTTTTGAGCCTGTTGACCAATGTCAACCAAAATTGACAAAGTGGTGTCAGCGTCAAGGATATCAAAGTTTTACAGGTTTTATGAAAATCATCAAGTTGGTAGAGGAGGAATGACCCAAATTAACATTTTTGCTAATGGAAAAGCTGCAGCATGATTTCAAGTGATCTGCTGTGTTAGACCTGAGTTAAACTGGCCAGCTTGTTGATGCGGAGCTCTGAACCAGCCGGCGGTTATGCTCCTCTTTGACAAGCTGATGGGGTTTTACAGCAACGCTTTAAGAGCTCCGGGCTGTGACCAGAGAAAGTTTGCAATGCAGACACGAAGTTGTGTAGGATGCGTATGTGAGATAAGTGATTTGCACCTGATCTTGAAGTACCCCAGCTGAATGATTCTTCAAATTGAGCTCTGTAAAACCATAATTTCCACAGAGCAGCCTTCAAACTGTGTTAATCGGTGAAATTTTGAGTTAGAAGCTGGTTTATATGCTGGCTTACGCATGATTCCAGGGCTTGACAGCAGGAAGTTTGTTGAAGTTTCATGTCTATTGGCATATTCTGTAAATGGATTTTTTTTAAGAGGGAAAAATCCAGAAAGAGAACGTATTTGTAATCTTCACTTACATCTTACAGCAGCTCCATGCTGCAAAGATAAAATAACAATTTTCAGTTTGGAGTTGGTTTTTTTTTTGTTGTTTGTTTTTTCAGTTGTTTTTTTTAAGGAGGAGAGATTGGGGGTTGTGCTGCTTTTTTCCCAACGCCTTTTCTAAAAGGACGTTTGGGGAAAATGTGACAATATTGGGTTTTGGCATTCCAGGAGAGCTTGAAGTGGATCCAGTGTTATGCATTCCCTTCTGCACCGAGTGTCAGGAGTAATTCATGTTGTTGACAGCCGTGTCAACATGTGAAACAGAATGAAGGACAGGAACTAAACAAAAAACTAATAATAGAAGAGGCAAGAAAGTGAGAAGTGAACGCTTTGTTAGTAAACTTTCTCACTGTGATGAGTAAGAAGGTCAAATAGTGCAGCCCATCCTTATCTGTTACCACAAGCGCCTTCTTGTTGGCAACGTTCAAGCGAAAGAGAGCTGTTTGTACAACTCTGTGCGTTTTGTGAGTATGGAAAACGAGCAATTTACCCAAGAAACAAGCACAGTGGATTTATATGGAGGCATACAAAGGTCACTTTGCTTCATCTCCATTTTGTTTCAGTAATTACTGTACTTGAAGCTTATGCTTCCAAAAACTCTATGAGGTATGGTCTCAATTGTACCCATTGCAAACGTTAAATATGTGCTTTGTCTGCCAAGCAGTGTGGGGCATCATGTTAGTTGTTGTTTGATGTGTTTTCTGCAATAGAAGAGTCGCCTCTCTGGGTTCAGTGATTACCACAGTATGTATCCTGTGATAAACTAACCGGCGACTCCAGTACAGGCTGTTGAAGAAACCCGTATTCTATTTTAAGAGGTGCTTAGTCATCCCTGGTTTGGCCTCTAACAAGTTACAGGCGTTACTCCTTATTTTCTCCTAGTAAAGCTGATGAACAAGTTAATGGGAAGGCCAGTTTGTGAGAAACAGTTTGTGGTACTGGAGGCTGTGAGTTCTGGAGTGCTGTGTTATTGTGTACCGCTAGCAGAAATCAGAGAATGCCTTCCACGTTTCGTTGTGTGTTGGTAAATGTGATGGTTTATGTCACGCAGGTATGGAGCGGCTGCTAAGTATGGGACAGGCACATGTAAGAGGATCTTTATTAGTAGGGAATATGATACAGCCCTTCTGTGTGCTGAAGTCAACATTCAGCTATAAATATTTCTTCACTGTTGTAAATAGAAAACTTTACTAAAGAGTCTTACCTTTAATTTGGCTGCTTCTAATTGTTAAACCTGATTATTTGTTTTCCTTGTGGTTTGGTGTAGGCTGTGTAAAACACATCGATATCCTTAATTATTAGTATGTCTTATGTTGGTTTTTTAGGTGGCCTAGCAGCATGCAGATCTAGTACATTTTGTGTTTAACTGAATTGTTACATAAATGAAAATATTTTCTCTTATCAGAAGTAAAATGCTTTCTATGGGGACTTCTGCTTCTGATGCCCGGACTCTGTTGAAGATTTACTTTGTTGCTTGGCTTAAAGGAAGATGAAGTCATTAATGAATTCTGAGCATCCTTCAGGAACCTGGTGACCCTTCCATCATTGGTGAATGCTGTCATGGACAACTTCAAAGGGTAAAGACAGTATTTTTGTGAGTCTGTTTCAGGCTAGTGCTCTGATGTAGGAAACAGGGGGTTAAGGTTTTGGTTTAGGTTAACTGCCCCAAACTCTTTCTTTTCACTCTTAAAACTATTCATAAATTATGGGAACAAATTAGAGGAAACAATTTGCTGGAGTAGCTGTCCAACTTTCTGTATGACCTGCCTTTGAAGGGTTTATTTACTCTCCAGATTATATTATAATATAGATATACTTGAGGTAGTTTTAAATGAACTCATTTGGGTCTGGGAGCAGTCTTACTGCAAAATATAAGCAGTGAAGTAGTTTAGGTTTTGTTGAGCTGTATACTGCTGCAGCATTACTAGGTACCCAAGTACTTTGTTTAAAAGTTTGTTTCAGTTTAAGTATTTCGAAACTATATGGTGGATAATTTTAGCTCTACCTTCAGATAGTCTTCTATGGTTGTTTGCTGCAAGGGCTGGATTATATTTCATACTTGATTTCATTTCCATAAACCAGTGCAGGGTTTTTTTCTCTTAATAAATCCCTGAAAATAATGCTTAATTTAACCATTAGTCTTTTTGTTACTTGAGGGCTAATTTTGGCTGATGTTTCTTCGTAGTCTTCTCTTTTTAAACACAGTAAATGGGAAGCCACACTTAGTAGCCTCCAACTAAATAATTGTCTTAAAATAAAATGTGATAGTTTATTAATGTTTTAGTAGCAATACTTTGTTTAAGAGGATATTTGAAAGAGTACAGTTTGCTTTCTAAGAATGTTTTATCTGCTCACTACGTTTATTCATTCTGTTTTATCAGCTCTTTTCCAAAACACCACAAGCAGTTAATGCACCTTATAAAGGACTCCTGACCTTTTGTATCTTCACAAGTCATACCTAGATGTCACCAGTGTTTCCCATGTTAACAGTTCTGAGCATGTTTTACTATATGTGCCTTCGGCGCCGAGCTAGGACAGCGACGAGAGGAGAAATGAACAGCCGGAGGGCTATTGAATCAAACACCCGAGCCTTACCTATCAATGTTGAAATAGTTCAGTATGCCAAAGAAGTGTTGGATTTCAGCTCTCACTATGGTAGTGAAAACAGCATGTCGTATACCATGTGGAATTTAGCAGGTATTCCAAACGTGTACCCTAGTTCTGGTGACTTTACTCAGACTGCCGTCTTCCGAACTTACGGGACCTGGTGGGATCGTTGTCCTAGTGCTCGGCTGCCGTTCAAGAGGACACCATCCACCTTCTGTAGCCAGGACTACGTGGAACTCGCTTTTGAGGAACCAGTTTATCCCACTGCAGTGCACATTCTGGAAACCTATCATCCTGGAGCTGTAGTCAGGATTTTGGCATGCTCTGCAAATCCTTACTCACAAAATCCACCAGCAGAAGTAAGGTAATTTTTTTCTTTCCTCCTTTATGCTTTCCTGTAAGATGTTAAATGCTACAAACAATGCTGTTTAGCGAACTTTACACAACAGAGAAATACTAGGAAGTATCTGACCCACTGATGTTTTCTTTATTTCTGCATGTTTTTAAAAACTGTGGTGATATGTTTTTATAGCAACTTCAGAGATGGGGATTTTGTTGTAGGGATTAATGCAGATCCTAATACCAGATTTAATTTGCGTAATGATAGTTTTTGTGTTGGAATTTTATGAGCAGTAATTATTATGCATGTACAAAAATCGCTTTTGAAATGGCAGTTCTGAGTTCTTCTCTTTCTCCAATAAGAAAAGCAAATTGTGTAGAGGAGGCTGAGGATTCGTGGTTGCTGTATCATCCTACTTCAAGTAGCCATAAGCTCTTTCTTCTCTCTGCGTGCTTTAGGTTGTATATATAGTACAATCAGGCACTGTAACTACTCATATGGAAATGAGGCCAAAACCAGAAGCAGAGAACAGTTGGGCAAAAGGTGATGCCATTTGTCTGATCTTTATTTTTGGTCTGATCAAAGGGTGTGAGCTGCACTTCATTTTTACGCTTGCTTCATAGACTTAAAAGAAGCTGATTTGATCCTCTTGGTTTTCCTCATAGTAGAAATTCCTGATGAAATTCCACTTGGTGGGCAGGAAGATGGGGACCTGGGGAATGGTAAGATAATAAAGAAAACCCCTCTGTATGAGATGTGTGAAGGTCTTAGTGAGGAGGTGAGGAAACAGAAAGGAAAGGAGAGAGAGAACAGGCAAAAGCACGTAGTGGGGAAAAATACTGGGAAAAGCTGTCAGTATATGCAGTCAAAGTATTCTGCATACATCAAAAAGAGATGAATCAATACCAGACCCATAAAGGAAAGGTGAACTGATAGAAGAAAGACTTAACAAAATGTATCCTGTAGAAAATAAGATGCCAACAAATACCGCATTCCTTTAAAATGCGTGCTTTGGCGGTATAAGCAGTGTTAGCTTGAATGCTGGGTGTTTTTTCCCTTACCTGCCTTTTACAGGTACAGCTAAAAAGCATATTTTTAGGTCTAACTTAGTATCCCATGCTTCCTAATATTAGGCTATTGATATTTATCCAAAACAGGTGTCAAGTTATATATTCCAAATTCCCACTTAATAAGTTTTGTGTGATTCTATCAGCTACTGTTGTTTAGTGCAGTTGTTTGTTCTACAGCTCTCTAATGAGTATGTACTGGAGAACTCTAAAGTAAACATCCGAATTCAAGGAGCAGTGATAGGTCACACTAATAATAATAGGCTGCCAAACTTCAGAAGTAGGAGGGCATTTGGCACTGTCATACAGAACTTATTTATAGGATGGTGTGTGGTGAAGGCAGCTTTTAAGACTTTTGAACGTAGAACCTAATGTGAAATGACTTTTGGCCAATTACTCTGTGAACTTTCATTTCACTTTTTTATTTTATGACGTAGATTTTACTTCTTTGTTTTATGATGTAGCACAGATTTATGTAGAGATTATTTCTGTAACTGTTGATCGTGTTGCGTTAGGGTAATAGTAGGATAGTGTGCTGCAGGGCAGTACAAGGATATAATTCTGAGTAATAAGCTAATGCTATTTTATAAAACTGTCTGTTTAGATTCGGTTCTTAAAACAGTACACTTTTTTTTTTGTTGAAGGAAAGCTCAAGAAATGTTAACTGAAGGAGCTACTTAGTAAGGTGCGCTAAAAAAAAAAAGTGCTTTATGACTGCTCTTGGGGTGCGGTCAGAGTGAGAACTTGGACTTTCCTTTCTTCATAAAAAAGGATGAAGTTTCTGTAAGACCTTGCTTTTTAGTTTGTAGGCAGGAGTATCTTCTGTTCTGCCTACCTAGGTTAAAATAATTTTTGGTGAGAAGGTTGTCTCGAGAAGCCTCAGAACCAGTTGTCTGTGCTGCATCTTCAGTACTTGCTAGTCTTGATACTAGAGAAGCATTAGAGGGACTCTTTTTTTTTTGGTTTTAGCTTACCTTTCCTCAGCAGGACTTGTCTGTTCAGAACTGCACATTTGGTTTGTCTCCTTTCTTCTGAAAGAGGCAAACGTGTGTTACGCATGGTATGTTGAAGGGAAGGTGAAGGAACCCTTTCTCCACATGAGGTATGCAATATTTTTTCGCTCTTCGTTGGCTCACCTTTATGAGGGGAATCTGAAGAATTGCAAGAACTTGCTGACTTGAACAGCTCCGGTGCGGGCACATTCTGCAGCAGAGTGGGGGATCGTGGTGTAGAGGAGGGGTTTCCTCAGCCTGGCACCGTTCTGTGACCACCTGCACAGGTCAAGGTTACCCATCCTACCTGACCATCAATGCAGGATGGTGGGCGCTCATCTGAGAGCAAAGGCTGCAGCTCCGGCCTGGGGGGTCTGCTCCATCTACCCCAAAGATGGCCGATGCCTTCACCCAGATGGAGCTGCTGAAGGGAGAGGCTCAGTGCGGACCTCAGACTGTGGGAAGTACCAGGACCTCTCTTCTGGAGCAGGGACAGGCAGCAGACCTGCCTGCAAATGGTGTGCCCAGGTGGAGGACCTCCTGCGGTGGGGGACTGAGCTGCAGGAGACAGTGAGAAGGCTGCACAACATCAGGGAGGCTGAGAAGGAGCTAGAGAGCTGGTTCCGAGTGCAGTCTGCAGTGGACCCACAGCCTGCGGCCAAACAGCCAAAAACTTCCCCACCGGCACACACAGAAGGGAGGAGGGCCAATAATGCAAAAGGATGGAAGCTTGGAGAAGGATCATGGGTCAGCAGGAGAGCACCTGAAGAGCAGCACAAAGGAATCCCAGCCACTCCAGCCAGTAAGTCAGCTTCATCGGGGGCCCAACTTACATGTGTCAGTGCAAACACATGTAGCATGGGGAATAAACAAGAGGAGTTAGAGATGTGAGCACACCTGCCGGGCTATGATCTTATTGGCATCACAGAGACATGGTGGGATGGCTCCTACGACTGGAATGTTGGAATGGAAGGATACAGGGTCTTTTGGAAGGGCAGGCAAGGGAGACGAGGAGAGGGTGTCACCATCTATGTCAATGACCAGCTGGAGTGCATGGAGCTCCACCTGGGGATGGATGAGGAGCCAACTGAGAGCTTATGGGTCAGGATTAAAGGGAGGGCAGGGACCGATGACGTTACAGTGGGGGTCTGCTACAGGCCACACGACCAGGAAGACTGAGCAGATGAGGCCCTCTGTAGACAGATAAGAGCAGCCTAATGTTCACAAACCCTGGTCCTCATGGGAGACTTCAACCACCCCGCTATCTATTGCAGGGACAACACAGCAGGGCGTTAAGCAATCCAGGAGATTCCTGGAATGCATAGAGGATAACTCCCTTCTCCAAGTGATAAGAGGAGCCAACGAGGAGAGGTGCTATGCTGGACCTTGTTCTCACCAACAAGGAGGAGCTGGTGTGGAATGGGAAGCTCAAGGGCAGCCTTGGCTGCGGTGACCGTGAAACGGTGGAGTTCTTAAGGTCCTTCAGACAGTGAGGAGGACACACAGCAAGCTCACTGCCCTGGACTTCAGGAGAGCAGACTTTGGCCTCTTCAGGGAGCTGCTTGGTGGAGTACTATGGGATAAAGCCTGGGAGGGAAGAAGGACCCGAGAAAGCTGGTTAATGTTCAAGGATCACCTCCTCCAAGCTCAGGAGCGATGCATCCCAACAAAGAAGTAGTCAGGCAAAAAGACCAGGAGGCCTGCATGGATGAACAAGGAGCTCCTGGACAAACTCAAACACTAAAAGGAAGCCTATGGAAGGTGAAAGCAAGGACAGGGAGCCTGGGAGGAATACAGAGAAATTGTCTGAGCAGCCAGGGATAAGGTTAGGAAAGCTGAAGCCCTGATAGAATTAAATCTGGCCAGGGATGTCAAGGGCAACAAGAAAAACTTCTCTACGTACATCGGTGATAAAAGAAGACTAGGAAAAATGTGGGCCCTCTCTATGGAAGGAAATGGGAGACCTGGTTACCCAGGATATGGAGAAGGCTGAGGTAATCAATGACTTTTTTGCCTCTGTCTTTACTGGCAAGTGCTCCAGCCACACCACCAAAGTCACAGAAGGCAAAGGCAGGGGCTGACAAAATGAAGAACCACCCACTGTAGGAAAAGATCAGGTTCAACCATCTAAGGAATCTGAAGGTGCACAAGTCCATGGGACCTGATGAGATTCATCCGTGGGTTCTGAGGGAACTGGCGCATGAAGTGACTAAACCACCGTCCCATCATATTTGAGAAGTCGTGGCAGTCCAGGGAAGTTCCCACTGACTGGAAAAGGGGAAACATAACCCCTAATTTTAAAAAGGAAGACCCAGGGAACTATAGACCAGTCAGTCTCACCTCTGTGCCCCGCAAGATCATGGAGCAGATCCTCCTGGAGGAGGATCTAATGTGCTAAGGCACATGGAAAATAAGGAGGTGATTGGTAGCAGCCAGCATGGCTTCACTAAGGGCAAATCGTGCCTGACAAATTTGGTGGCCTTCTATGATGGGGTTAGAGTGTTGGTGGATAAGGGGAGAGCAACTGAGGTCATCTACCTGGGCGTGTGCAAAACATTTAACACTCAAAGAGTTGCAGTCAATGGCTCGATGTCCAAGTGGAGACCAGTGACGACTGGCATTCCTCAGGGGTTGGTATTGGGACCAGCACTGTTTAACATCTTTGTCGGCGATGTGGACAGTGGGATGAAGTGCACCCTCAGCCAGTTTGCTGATGACACCAAGCTGTGTGGTGCGGTCGACACACTGGAGGGCAGGGATGCCATTCAGAGGGACCTGGACAGGCTGGAGAGGTGGGCCTGTGTGAACCTCATGAAGTTCAATAAGGCCAAGTGCAAGGTCCTGATCATGGGTTGGGGCAATCCCAAGCACAAACACAGGTGCAGAATGGATGGAGAGCAGCCCTGAGGAGAAGGACCTGGGAGTGTTGGTTGATGAAAGGCTCAACATGACCTGGCAATGTGTG